CGTCTTTTAAATTCTGAGTGGAATGAGGAATGTATTGGTTCTAAATGGTGTTTATTTTTTTTTGTATGAACACTTTTCTACCGGAAGGCTTACTCCAAGGTATGTTCGTCGTTTTTTTTTTTTAATTTGAACCCTTTTTCTATCAGAAAGCTATTTATGATTTCCAAGTATAACACCTTTTCTGAAAGGAAATGTTCTCTGAGTAGTAGTTTAGAGAAGTCATTTTTTGAAATTTTCATTAATATTCATGATAATGAGGAAAACCCGGTTCTTTAGGTTAAAAAAAGTTGAAAGATTAAATATAAGGTTGTCATTGGCAACCGTTTTTATTTATTTTTTATTATTATTAAGTTTTTATTATTTTATTTGAATAATATAAATATTATTAATTTATTATTAAATAATCATTGTCGCCATGGAAACGCACACTGTTTTAATTATTTTACCATACATCACAAGTTGGCGCAGCCAGTGTTGTAGATGAGAAGTTGGGAGGATAGGATACAGACAAGAATTTAATGTATATTTATAAGCTACGAGACACCTTCGCTAACGAAAAACGATTCTAAGCCGAGTTCAGTTGATAGTGTTGCATTGTTAACAATATATATATGATAAAATAATTACAAAAATGTGCGTTTTCATGACATCAATGATTGTTTAAAAAAGATTAAAATAATAACAAAAAATAAATAATAACTGTTGCCAATGATAAGATTATTTTTAATCTTTAAACTTGTTTTAACCCAAAAAACCGGGTGTTCCTCATTATCTCGAATGAAAGTTTCAAAAATAGGTCCCCTTTCAAGTACCATCCAGAGAACATTTTCTTTCAATAAAGGTGTTATATTTGGAAAATAGCAAAAGCTTTCTGGTAGAAAAATGGTTCACATAAAAAAAAAAAATAAATAAACATCATTGTAAAAATTTTCAATTTGTCTATTTTCTGGTGATTTTCATGACTTTTAACGGTGATTATTAATTTTTAAAATAACGAATACGTATAAAATGTAAACGCCACAAAAATATGCAGATAGGTACCAATTTTTTTGTAAGTACCTACATGAAATCTGGAATAGGTATCTAATACTGAACGAAGGGCCGTGTATGTGAGGGAAATAAAATTACTCCTTTACTCGTTTGTTGGCTAACTTTTGCGTGCTCAACCCGGTCTACCGTTTATACAGTGTAATAGAGTTTTTTTATTTTCAGGGAAAATTCAACGAAAAAACTTCACGCCATTACTGATCGGAATCACGTCACCGAAAAGTACGTACAGAACATACAATGCGGTAACTTGAAGCGATTCTGACGTACAAATATATACCCATGCAGTATATTATTATATCATTGGTAAATGTTACATAAACGAACGCATATTACATTCTGTCGTGGTAATGATATGTACAGGTACGCGCGATGCTGTCAAGGTGCCGACGTTTGATCGAATATTCCCAAGGGCAATTAACCGCATTAAAATAATATGTATAGGCACGCTGAATAATATTCTCAAATCAATATGGCATAATATGTAATAGCTAGTATATAATACAGGCTATTGCTAACGACGTCACAGTGAATTGTGAATTTCGTTCGGTACCTACCTGCCAGCTATACCTGTAAATATACGATACTAGAACTCGTAGTGAATCGGGACGAAATAATAATTTTATTCGAAATGTTTGACATTAATTGGCCTACATACCGTGAGCTATGGATATTGTCTAATGTAAATAAACCACTGGCAAATGCAAAACGTCCGCGTGATCAAACGTGAATCAGAATTCGAAACTTATATCACCTGGAATCAACAAAATTCTTCTTAAAAAAAAACGTCATTCTAGCCACAAAAAAAAACAATAAGAAAATATTAAAAGCAAAAGAAACATGTAAAAAATATTTTAGTTTTTATTTTTTAAATAATAGAAGTAAGCAAAATATGGCATTTTTAAATTTAAATATTTGGACTCCTGAATCTTTTTTTAAATTACGCTAATCGTTGACTTTTATCACCTCGTACCCAGTCCCAGTGACAAATAAACATAATAGCTATTACTTCTGATGAGTGTGCCACTGATTTAGGTGGAAAATTGAGAAGGTAGGGTTTAAAATCATTTAATTTATATTTGTAAGTAATGATAAACTATTGCCTACCGAAATAAGATTCTGAGCGAAGTTTGGTTGTACATGTTTTGAAATGCCGTAGTATTTATGATTTCGTCAAAATTTAATGTTAAAACGCTTATCAAAAAGAAGCTTCTATACTACGCTAAATTTTTTCTTTTTTAACCACTAAGTGCAACTTATCGTGAACTTCGTGTTTAATTTTGAATCATCTCAGTTAAGTCAAACAATTTTATTCACATAGTGCCTACCAAATAAAAACATACAAATACGTTTTTCTCGGTTTTGCCCAATTATTAAAAAAACTACACGGAAAATCAAAAATTTTACACTCCAAATAGATCCAAAATTCAACAAAAATGTCTTGGAATTTTTTGATTGAAGTAAGATTTCTGTTGTGTACAGACAGAAAAAATATATTGAATGTGGTTCTTCATTTAATTAATTATTTATAATACTAATAAAATACTGACTGTATATAATGTATATCCATTCTCGTAACTCGATCGATTAAAGAAATATTTGAAAAAGAAAAAAAGGGGGATACCGAAGACGGGTGTAGTCACTGTCGTAGGTAGGTAGTTGGGAAGATAGGATACATAAAATTAATTAATTTAAACTTTGAAGTTCAGTTAAACATGTTTTGAAAGGCCGAATATTTACAATTTCCGTCAAAATTCGATTTTAAAACTTTTACAAAAATAATATAATATACTATATTACATTCACAATTCTTTTTGAAAAAAATGCATTATTTTTTCCCTGTTATCTACCCGACGTGGTTTTGTAAAACAAATTTTTTTGAAGTCGAGTTTAAATTCGTGACTCCCGGAATGACAACAACTACGTACCACCACTAGACTAAGATAGACATACTATAAGAATTAACAATATTGAGTTATTTAACATAATACACAATAATATAATATGTGCATAATATCAAAACTTCAAAAAGCTATAATTTAGAAACTAAGCAAATCCGCTCTGACTTCGCCATCTTTCTTAAATCGGCAATAATAAGATATATTATATAGTATAAGTATTTATATACGTTCAAAACAAAAAAAAATTTTAAAATTCGCATGAACATTGAAAATTTATTCCTCATAATTTTTAATTTAAACGGTTTTAATCAAAATTTGATACTAAAATTCCTTTATAAATAATTTTCTTAATGGTCAAAAATTAAGTGTGATAATGTGAGTTTTTTTTTTTTTATGAGAGTTTTAATATCAAATTTTAACGAAAATCCTAAATATTCAGCCGTTTAAAACATGTATTGTTGCATGTAACATGTTAATCGAACTTCGCTCCAAATCGTTTTTCATTAGCAATGGTTTATCGTTGCTTTTTTTTTTCTGATGAAATATTAACATAAATAATTGTTATATACCATTATATCTTATATGTAAAATTCTCGTGTCACATGTTTGTGGTCGCACCCCTCCAAAACGGCATTACCGATTTGAATGAAATTGTTTTTGTATATTTGGTAGGTATGATAATAGTTTGTAAAATATTTTTTACCCTCCTAACGTAACCCGCCATTTTTTAATCGTGATTTTAGTATATTAATTCGGTTTATAGATATTATTAAGTTATTTATTTTTAAGGATTACCTTAGTTACACGGATAAAATGAAAAAAAAAAAATGTAAAAGTTTGGTCAAACCGTATCTATGGTAATTAATATAAATAAAAATAATTCTAAAGATCTATATGCAATATTATTTAAGAAGAAATATTATAACAGAAAACTATTAGTCCGCCGAAGATGGACTACCCACTTTTCACCTATTTATTTTTATTTGTTATTATTCATTACTGACACGGTCAAAACCAAAAAGTAATATGGGTAAAAAATGACACAGACAACGCTGGGCGGGACAGCTAATATATAATATTAAATTATTATTATTATATCGTAGTTTACAAATATAAATTAAATAACTTTATGCAATATACATCCTACTTTTTCCACATTCCACCTACAACAGTCGCAACACCCATCCCCAGTATCAGCTCTGTTATTTTATTATTAACTTACAAAAAGATGCTAACACGCTATATCACTAACGCAAAATAATTTTATAATTAATAGAGTAGGTGTAATAACAGTTTTACATATACAAATTTGCAATTATTTACAAACTAATTATTTGTACAATTTTTTTTTGTCTGTATACAAATGTTTAACCAGAAATTTTGCTTCAGCTAAAAACTGTATGGCAACATTCTTGTAGAATTTTTATTTATATTTGGTGCATTAAGATCATTTTCTAATATTCTTTATAGTTCTCTTAATAAATGGAAAAACTTGAAATTATTTGTCTTATTTTTTTGATTTCCTGGCACAATACGCCACTCAAAATAGTTTTTTGTTAAAAGTTGTTATTTGTTGCGTATAGATAGAAATTAAATTACTATAAATCAAATAAATCAACCCTTCCCAACTTTCTACATGGTACCTACAACAGTGACTGTACCTAGTGGCGTGGCAACTCTTTCGAAAAGGCAACTTTTAGGTTTTTCAACGGGTGATGGGTGCCACTGGGAGAGTGGGTAATAATTTAGTTTCATAGTTATTAACAACTAAAAAAGGACTAAGATGTTATGATGCATTCCAAAGCCTTTGAACAAGAACATTGTCTTATTGACAAATACAAGTTCAACAAATATGCCAAGCAAATGAGATTTGACAACTTGGAAGATAATTATCAGGGAGTTCGGATATGTATGAACGTAGGACTGGAACCAGGGCTCCAAAACACTCCACCAGGATAGGTGAAATAAGGCCGGCAACTTTCTACCAAGCCACAAAATTGCGCAAACAACAACCAGCATCTGCCCGACAAGAAGGACCCAAAAGAATAAAAAATGAGAATCAACACAATTTACAAGGTGGTTAGAAACCTGATCGAAATATTGAAAGATCTGGAGGAGAGGGATCAGGACAGTGAGCTGTTGACATACCCAAAAAAAATAATTAAAAAAAATTCAGAGGCCTTTTTGTCAGAGATCTTGATGAAGTACCAAACTAAATTGGCTGATGGGACACTGTGTGAGCAATTTCTAGTTGGTTTTGCAAAAGGGTATGTTTTATGTGCAACTAAACAAAATATTTCAGTAGTTTCTAACATATATGACCAATTAACGAATGAGACAAAATCGATTTTGAAACAAACTGAGAAATGTGTTCAATCGAGTGCTGATGCTCTTAACAATTCTCTTGCCTTGCCAAAAAGTATCAGCTCTTGTACTGGAAAACTGGAAAAGAGTGTCTTAGAAGTACAATTTATTTTGAACAAAATCTCGGAACCTGAAAGACGCAACCAAAAGCAGCCTTTTTCATCAACAAATCAAATCAGTAGCAGCCGAAACAGAGAATTGACTGAGGAATATGGAAGGAGTCAATAGGAGTCTAAGAACACTTCTGATCAACCCAGAGATAATAGATAGACCTCTCTGAAAGAGAAAACCAATATATCTCCTCCAAGACTAGAAAATATTATGAGAACGTCATCTTTTGTGATTGGGAGAACTGAAAAGTGGAAATAGTTATATCCGACAACTTAAAAAAGACTCAAAATAAATTGACTATTTTGGGTCTCGGCGAGTAAATCAGAAAGGCTCCTTCATATAAACTGGCTGTTCTGAAACGGCTTAAGAATTTGATCTCAACTATTAATCCATATGAAAAAATTGGACAACATTAACACATTAATCAAGGATCTTGGCAAGATCGAATCAGGAGCCTGGCCCGGAATCCATCCAGAGAATGTTGTAGCTTCTTTTGTTAAAGAGTTGAAGACTAAGATCAGAACCTCTGTCAATTCAAAACTCTTTCAGATTCCTTAAATCAGTCATAGTTTATTCTTCTTCAGGGTATTGGCTGAGAAGGATTTAACCGACATGATAGAAGATATATGTAAGATAAAGGACAAAATTATGTCTTCTACAAATTTGATATCTACAGATATTGAATACATTTTAAATCAAAATTTACCTATAAATTCTTGGGACTTGTGACTTAATCTAGATTTTGGTCAAGTATTGGGCAGAATCAGTTGGAAATTCTACTTATATTAGCCCTAAAAAACATGTTGAAATTGATCATAATGAAGCAATTGACATGTTCGTAAAGTCTTCAGACTACTTAATGCAGAATATATTGTTATTGATATTTTAATTGTTGTACGACTTAACCCTATTAAAGAAACAGTAATCTTTTAAAAATATTGTCACATTTCGTGTTATTTTAATTAATCTTACAATTATCTCTATAGTTTTAAAATATTTTTCGAGAGGCACTCACCCCTTTCCCATAAATGTTTTTTCATAGGGTAATTTTTAAAGAGATAAATACCTAGTGTTCAATATTCAAAAGTAGTAGTCGATGGGTGAGTAATGGGCGAGTGGGTGAGTATCGCAAAATATAGTCGCCTCTGAAAATATTTCAGTTTACCACGTTACTAGCTATACCAGTCCCCAGTATCAGCTCTTTTTTCTTAAATTTGTTTATTTTATGTAGGGAGTTTTCAAGAACATCCAGATAAAATGTTTGTCCACAATAATATATTTTAAGAGGAATGGTTTTTTTTTTCTTTTAAGTAACACACCACTGATTTTAATATAACTGAAATGGCTGTGATAAAACTAAGTATTATCGCATCTTTATATTACGTGTACTTATAATGTACCTAACGATATGAAAACCATTCGAAGAAATTTATTTTATTATAATAAAACAATATTCGAGTGTTTCGTATTTAATGTTTCGAGAAAATAACATACATTTAGTTTGAAAGGTTTAGTTGTTAATTAAACATTATAAAACGTCTCGTTATCATAACGAAATTAATTACCTACACAAAGATAATTTTATTTCAATTAAACATAATTAATTCTACTTTATTATTTTGCTAACCGCAATAATTATTATTGCGGGCAATTGTGTTTGTTGCGCAATTGAAATAAAATGAAAAAAAAATTAGCGGTGATAAAATATGTTAAGGCTCTTCTCGGGCGAATGCGGCAGAATATAATAATAATATAATATGATTAAAAAAAATAATAATAATAAAAAAAAACCATTCGGACACTTTCCGAAGACCGTTTTTGAAAACGTGTTTTTAATTACGGTTTTTATTTTTGAGTTGACCATATTGAGGTGACGGATGACCTAATAAAATATGTGTGTATGTGTGTACCTATTTTAAATACATATATTAACGCAACGTAATTTAAACGACCTTAGAAATAGTTTTAGGCTCGTAATGGTATTACAATATTATTATTATTACACACACGCGATGGGCGATATATTGAACCGTATTACAAATTTCGCTTGTAAACACGATAATTTCTTTTCAGGTGTAAAAAAAAGTTGGTACAAGTGATATTGATGATGGATATGCCATTAAGAAGGAAAGTTGAAAAGGAGAATATAATATAGAGTAATTTAATTTATATTTGTATACAGCTATAATAAGCCATTGCTAACGAAAAACAATTCTGAGCAAAGTACTATTTATTACCTGTATTGTTACCCTTGTTTCCCTTGTTCTAAAAATAAAACAGAAATCAACAAAAATAAAAACAAATTGTCATCTATTTCCCATACATTAAAAAACCAAGGAAAATTAATAAATTTACTACCTCAATAAAATACCGACTAGAATGCTAACAAATGCTTCAAACAAATTTGTATTAAGTTTTTGATTGAATCAAGATTTCTGGTCATAATGTTGTTTACAGACACAAAAAAATATAATTAAAAAACACATCATAGTTAAACAAATACATTCCTCACTTTGCTCAAAATTTAAAATAAATACACAAATGTAACAAAACAGATGTACCTACCTAGCTACATAATATAATATACTTGCAGGGCATTTTTTAGTGAACCATGTTTTAAACAAAATTATATCAATTTTCTAAACTAATAAAATTTTAATATTTCTCATTGACATTGCTTAATTGTTTGTGCAAGCACTATAATGTGTCACCCGAAATTATGGCAAAAGTATGGGTTATTTTGGACATAGCGAACGACCCACATAGCTCTATCCATAGTTTATAATCTAAGAGAAGCACCATAAAACAAAACCGTTTAAAATCATTATCATTGATTTCTTGCTAATCATATAGGTTCAATATTCAAATAATTAAATAATAATGAAGTTAATGATATATTTGAAAATTGAGTACAGTTTAAGCAATAGGTACACGCTTGGGCACACACAGTACTTTTTATTAATACTTCTTATTTTTCAAAATAAAAAAATTATGATTTCCTACTATTTTTGCTAGGATTTTTCAATTTTTTTTTTTTTTTTGAACATATGTATATTGTCTATTTAAGCACAATGGTAAAATCAGAAATAAGCGGACTGACTAAGTTTTGAAATTATAGCTTTTTGAAGTTCTGATATTATACGAATACTATATATTATAGTAAATAACTCTATATTATCCTTCATAAAGCATATTTGTCGTGATCTAATGATTATTTATGCCTATTATCATCCTAGGGGTTCTAAATTTACACCAGTGTGATGAAAAAAAATTGTTTGCATTTGTTTTCTACTTTTACCTAAACAAGAGAAAAACAAAAACATTTTGAATATACCTAGAAACCCAAGCCATCGTTCTCTCAGACATTTTAAATCACAAAATACCCCTCGATTTTTTGTAAAAACTTTTATACCAGAAATCTTGCTCCGATTTATCAAGTGTAACTTATTTCTGAAAGAGAATTTTATCTCCATGATAATTTAGAGAAGTCATTGGTTGATTTTTCAAGTGGTTTTTATAATATCTGGGAAAAACCGGGATAAAATGTCGGAAAAACGGAAAATGTACGAAATATAGTTATAAGTACAAAAATATTATGGCCTTTGTTTCTGTGTACAACTTTTCTACCAGCAACTTCACTCCGATTTAAAATGATAGCACTTTTTCTGAAAGGGAATCTGACTGGGAAGGTACTTAGGGAGGTAATTTTTTGATTTTACTAGGAGTTTTCCAATATATGGGAAAAAAACGGTAACAAATATAGGAAAATCGGTACAATATTAATCAAATATTGTTAAAGAAAATATATAATGCCTATTTTATTATTTTACCATAATATGGCAAATATATAGTTCACAATGCATCACTATCAACTGATATTGCGCTCAAAAACGTTTTTTCGTTAACAATGGTTTATCGTTGCTTACAGGTATACATTAAATTATCTATAACAGTGGCTGCACTTGTCCCCATTATCCTAGGACGTCTTTTAGATTCTAAGTGGAACGAGGAATGTATTGGTTTTACAATGATGTTTTTTTTTTTTTTTTCGATGAGAATACTTTTCTACTAGAAAGCATACTCCATTTATCCAGTATGGCACCTTTTCTGAAAGGAAATTTTCTGTGGAATAAAATTCCCGTCTCCATTATCCTAGGACATCTTTTTTTTCTCCTAAACTCCAGGTACTTAATACTGGCATAATACCTAAAACATTCGAGTTTTAATATGCTACATTGCTAAGCATTTATTTCATTATACTTAAACGTCCACGCGGACTAATATGGTGCCCTTTACGGAATGTCTATGACCTATTGGCCTATGCTAGATACCTACTTAGACTTTTAAAAATTATAATGGGAACGTTTCTGTAGAAAAAACAGTATGGCAACCCAAGCAACACTACTAACACTACACAGGTTAAAAATTAGCATTTCTGTGAAATCGCCGCCGCGTTGCTTCATAAGTGGCAACTCAACATACGACCGTACGAGTTTCTTACATCAACGAACCATCATTTTCATTTTGAGGTTAGATAATAGATTTATTCCCGCCAAAACTCAGTTATCTTTCAACGGACGATAAAATATTTAACAATCTAGAAACATAATTGTTCAATTGTGTATTCGCAACTTTAGGACGTTCTCGTTTAAAATTATTTTGGTTTGTAATAATAAAAAAAAAAGAAATGGAAAACGACTCGCCCAACTTGTTCGACAGTGAACCCGTGTCGGTGCAGTTGACAGTCGTTGACAACGAAACCGATGTTTTGGACGATATAGTTCGAACAGAAGACAGACCACCCAGTAACGTAGAAGATAGTAATGTTGTTGATGGCGGTTATGACGAGGTACAAGACCACATAGAGTACCAAACGGACGAGTCAGATGTTGACAACGAACACAATGACCTTACGGCGAAGGATCAGTTGGCTGAAGATGTTGACAAATCTGACGATGATTCTGCAAAGAATAAGACTGCAAAAGACGTTCATCACAAAGGTTTACCGCCTGGCCGAGTAAAGCTAATTATGAAAATGGATCCGGATGTCAATATAGTGGCGGGAGAAGCCGTGTTCCTAGTCACCAAAGCAACGGTAAAGTTCCCAGTTCTTAACTCATTTTATAAATGCCCATTACCTACCATATGAATAAACGATATTGATTTTATTCACATATTTGTTTTTGCTCTATAGGAAAGTTTTATTGGACTATTAGCACAGCACTGCCATAAAGCAATGGTAACTTCAAATAAAAAAACATTGCAAAAAAAACATATTGATGCCGTAATAGAAGATAATGTTCCATTTGAATTTTTAGAAGGCGCATTAGATTGGTAAATTGTTCTATTAATAAGTATACATAATTTCTTTTATCCTTATATATTTGTGCTATAATTAATATAAAATTAATTCACTTTACTGATTATTGCTCAATGTCAACATAAATATAATATATGATTTCTACTTTTTTGTTTAAATTATTATTAAAACCAAATTATCCGAATCAAAAGCACCTTATTAAATCTACCCAACTTCAGGTTTATCATTACAGAGCAGATAGTCCAGTAACGGATTTTCAACATTTTTTCTGGGAGAGGTCCTGAAAAATCATAAGTATTTAAAAGGTATCTCTATTAATAGATGCTTTTTTTTGGACGGCATTTTATTTTAATTATATTATTGTCTAGGAGATTCCAGATTCCCAAGACCCCCCCCCCCTGTAAATCCGTCACTGGCAGACACTATTATAAAATGGAAAAATAAATCTTTATTTTAAAAATCATTCAGAGACACATGTTTAGATACAGGGTATATTTTAAAAAAAAAATACAACAAATAAATAATAATAACATGAGTCACAACATTGCATGTAGGTAAACTGGTAAACAGAAATAATTTTGTTTTAATCACAATTTTAAGCCATAACAATAATACGCAATAATATAAATAAAAATACTTAATAAATTATCTAGGTTATTAAAATAAATATATATCTTATTATACAAGCACTGATTATTTATATAGGTATACGGAAAATAATGAAATTAAAAATCAAAATCATATTTTGAGCCAATTATACTTAAAGGAAGACACACACATAAAGTTTTTTTTTAATGAAAAAATAACAACTTATCAATATTAATTTCACATTAAAAACAAACAAAAAACAAAATGTGAAGCAACGAAAAAAAAAATTAAATTATAAGTGCTCGTAATGAATAAATAAATAGTATTGCTTATGATTTTTTATTTTTGCACATTTTACAAATGTTATTTTAATACAATTTTTATTATATTTTGTATCATTCAACATTTTAACATTTTTAGTTTTTACTTTAAGAGCAAAAATGAATACTGGGATCATTAGTTAGAATACATAGGTAGTTTGTGTATCTTTAAAATAAGTTCAATTTATAATTGTATGTAATATAATTAAAAGAGACCAACAAAAATAATTAAAAACAATGGTTTTTCAACATGAAAGTTTTCCATAGCCAAAAACTTGTTTAAATAAATTAATATCTCCTTTAAAAATAATGATAATCTATTTTACACTCATTCGAATATTTAGTGATGGTTTAGACTATTATATTATAAAATTGTAATTGGTGATCTGGTTGAAATTCATTCAACTTAATAAATAGATATTATAATTTAGTGGAAATTGCCAATGGCCAGTTTAAAACTAACAATAAAGTTTAAAATAACAAAAATATCACAATTCATTTAAAACAAAACAATTAATCTTAAGGATTCACATCATTGATTAAATATTTAAAAAAAAACATCCACAAGAAATCCTATCACTAAAACTTCTGAACACAATGCATACAATACAGTAAATTAAATTCTTATTAAAAAAAAATCTATATACCATGTTTTTTTTTTGTTTTAGTAAAATAAAATGCTTTTATATAATATAAGTTTTATATTGCAAGACTCAAAATATATTAATTATAGAGAAAAATCCTATTTAATTTTTGCCCCACTTTGCAAACCAAATTTATCAAATCACAATATAATAACTATCAGCTCATTTTAAACAGTTTTGTTGAAAATAACGCTAACCTTTTATTATAAAAGTGTATTATACAATTTGGCACAACAGTTTAATAATTTTAGTGCTTAAAATAATTTCATTATATAATATATTTATTGCTATAATTATAGTAACCATTAAACATTATTTAAAATAAATAGTATAGCTTAACATTTTAAAATACAATTTGTATTTGAATAGTTATTTTTCTTTTTAAATCTTAACTGACCACAGTGTTTTTAAACACAGTTTATTGCTTTAATTTTATATTTTAACAACCAATAAAAATATTTTCTCCAATCGAAAATGATCATTGATGTGCTTAAAATGATATATAATGTGTGTGTCCATTTACTCTCTCATAATTGTGTAATCCATAATAATATTTAGATAATTTATTGTCTATATTGCATGAAAAATAAAACTGACACTAGGAGCAAATTGTTGCTACCCTATACTTCAGGTGATAAAAAGTTTTAAATATTTTCAATTCTTTTTATAAAAGAATGGCAGATTTCAGTAGGATAGGAAACACAGGATTAAGTATAGTTAAATAAAATTAAAAGTACCTGTTTTCAGGTGCATTGAATGATAAAAGAATTCCAGTTAAGCTAAAAGTTAAATTTTACAAATCTTTTGTTAGACCGATCATATTGTATAGCACAAATATATATATATAATATAATAAATATATATCAAATTATAAAACAAAACACTGTTAGCACATATAGCAGTTATGAAAATGCTTATATTATAGACGTGTGAAGTTATTAATGAGGATAATATAATAAAAGATTTAATAAGAAGTGGTGAAACAATATTTTTATAGTTGATATGAGAATATTGAATGGGGGCGATTTGGATATTTTGAGCCAAACGTTGTAATAGTAGTTTTACAATTAAATGTGGGTGAAAGGCTAGAAAAATGAAAACCAAAAAGGAGATAGTTAGATACATTTGAATGATATGATGAAAACTGCTGCATGGGTGTATATAGATGTGAAAGACTGAGGTAAGGTAGCTAACCCATTTATAGTTGGGAAAGTCAGGAGTTTCCCCTGCCACCCAGAAGAACCATGTTATGTCGATATTGATTGAGAAAACGGCAGCTGCATTCCTAATTGACATACAAATCCAACAATATTAATCATCACAATTTAATAAAATATTTCTAAGTTATCTATATTAATGTTGAATGTAAATTAAATTTTTATGATAATATTTATTTTATATGTATGAATATGTATCATTAAATAATTGTACAAAATTGTCCATTATAGATATTATAATCTTTATATATATATATATAATTGAAACATACAATTTTAAAGATCACGTTTAATTTTTAAAATATCAAGTTGGAACGATAAGTGTACACTTAGTAGTTAATCTTTGGTAGAAGTGCCAATGTCTTAAGTTCCATTTTAATATTATTCACGAAATGAACACCTCGGGGCTGCTATAATACGTAGTTATATTTCCATAAAAAAAAAAAAATACTGAATTACTCATTGTGATTGACTTTAACGTAAAATAGTAAATAAGGAGTTAATGCAGAATTCTTGGATGATTTGGATTCTAAAATTTGTGTCAGTTGTGCAACTGACATTGTTCTAACTGTTTCATCGTCACATTCCAGCCAAACACTATCCCCACCTTCTGAACTATCTAGTATTCGAACTCCACAACATTCCAAACTACGGCACCACCGTCCAATCGATGAACCTTTACCTGAATCAATTGAATCACTAGAAGGGCTATTAGAAGTACCCATAGACGACGAAGATGCCTTTGATGATATTTTTAAAAATCGAAAAAGACCATTCGATATAGATGACTTTTTGTAATTTGCTGGCAAAGTACCATTGGGGGTAACTGAAAGACTCCCAGTTTTGCGACGATCACGAGGACAATTGTCATACTCTTCAAGATTATCCTGAGCCTTGACATATGCCACATAATGCCCAGATGCAATTGTAGCGCCCAAATGCATTATTATAGCATATAGTTGATAGCTATGTGCTCGAGTTTGTTGACGTGAGTTGAGCGATAAACACTCTTCACAAAAACATTCTAGTGTCAAAGGAGTAGGCATATGCTCGTTCACTTTCGACACAACAGCTCTAGAAAAATTAAATATAAATTATTTATTTATTCAGCTTATTGGTAAATGTGTTGTTACCTATAGTTGGTACAAAATCGTTTTAAATGCAAAGTCAGTAATCGAGGTAAACTTTCATATCCAACGCTACGTTTGGCTTCATTGTACCGACAACATTGTTCACACCAATACTTGTCGGTGTCTTGTAGATACTCTTCAGTTACGATCGCAGAATGATATAACTTGTTTACACTATCATAATCTAAAAATAATTAAATACAGTATATCAATACAAATAAATATAAATTTAAAAAAAAAAAAAACAAACCATAAAGGTTCAACTCATGTTCAGATGATATATCTCCATTAGTTGAACCATTGATAGGAACACAAATGTCACAAAAACTTTCTTTTCGTTCCGTAACAAATTCACATTCTAAACATGTAGTGCGGAGTAGGGATACACCTTGGAAATCATCAAACATTGATGTACTACTGCTACTGCTGCTGTTACTGAAACTAGGGATGCTTTCATTTTCATCTGTTTGGACTGCATTTGTGGTTCCGTTCACTGCGTACATTTGTTTATCATCTAAATTAAATAAAATATAATTAATATTGTGGCTTGAAATACACATTATTTTCCAAGTAATTTTTTTTTTTTTTTACCAACAAAATTTTCATTTTCAGGTAACACTTTGTCGCTAGCAATATTAACACTGGGCGGAAGACTTTCATTGACGGGACGTGTTTTACTGCTAGAAGCAATTTTCAAAGATTTCCGTACTTGTCCCGAAAACTTTTTCAATTTATTTGGTGCTGGTGGAATAATTGGAGTTGGTGCAATAAAACAATTAACTTGTACAGAATGTTGCATGACTAATTTACAACCCTCTCTAATATTATCCAACAGGCAAACGAGCAGTTCATGTGCATCATGTTGCTGATTGCCCTCGAATATTGGATTGACATCTCTGTTTAGATAACAACATGTATTTTAAAAAACAAAAATATTGAGGATTTATATTTTGTACTATTACCTTAACGATTGTAAAAACACTTCAGGTTGATATGGATCTGAGCTGTCTTTAAGTTCAGAATTGTGTAACGCTTCAAATACTTGATGCAAACGTTCAGTAACTTGTATAATTTTTAGGTCATTCATGCTAACATTTAATGAAGATTGTAAGTTCCACATTTTAGTGTTAACCGAACTTGTACTTCGTCCAAGTGAAGAACACTTTCCCTATTTACATAAAAATAAAACAAAAAAACTATTATCACCATTCTAATTAATTATAATAATTTACATGCAAGTACTTTAAATCCATTTGTCGACCGCCCAGTTATCTCTTGTAGTTCAGTAATTAGATGGTGTAGGTTGTGTAAGAATGATGGTGCAAATCTCAATGTATACAAAACACTGTTCAGAAAACAAGTGTTGCCAAGATTACACAAAGTTGCCACTCCGGGGGTGCCATTGCTGTCATTGTCACATGAACAGTTTATTTGCTGCTGCTGTTGTTGCAATTGTTGCTGTTGTTTGATGTGCCGGATAACTTTAAAGAAAATTAATACCTCTTAAATCATTGTCAGTATTAGATAACCTACATTTAAATGTAAGTATAAATTTCACAGGAACACACTTTAACTCGTAACCCAAATCGTACATATATTAGAACACTAATAAGTAACATAAACAAAACAAATTAACCAATAAAAACAACAAAAATAGTTTTTATTAAAACGCCTAAGTTAAAAGTATTTTTTAATTAATAAATAAAATAAGTAAAATTGTTCAACCCTTGACCAAAAAATGTATGAACTCAGCAACATTATAATATTATGTTAAAACTTCCATTAAAAACCTAACAATAAATGCATTAGTCCATGTAAACAATATGAATTTCAATGTATATACTATTATTATACATAATTTAATGAAACTAACGAAATGACAGTAAGGTTATAACTGAATATGTTGCAATTAGTTTAAGCTTTATGTAAGTTCAAATTTAAAACAAAATGGTCAAATTAAAAATGTATAAATATCACCTGGTTCAAGTTAAATGTCATGTCATCCATTCTTTCCTCTAACTCACATGCTAAATACATAAGATTGAAAATAAATCAATTTCAAAATAATAACACATACATGAAATTTAAAACCTAACATTTAATTATAAATATATTTTATTTAAATTACAGTTTTATTAGTTATTCTAATTTATAAATTATTTTTATTTAAGTATTTATAAAGCATTTAGATTAACATGTTAGAATATCCTTACATTTATTTTTAACAATTAAAAATACAAATTTTTAGAAACACAAAATGTGTTGAATCTGATTGCATGTTTTAATACATACCTACATAATGATGACCAATTTTATTATTAGTCTCCCAACTCACATTTAAAATTCAGCTTTTATAATTTTCTATTTAACCATGTTTTCTATTGTATTTTATTAAAACTGAAATTATGTAGTGATTAGGTATATATATATATATATTTAAGTAAATTGTTACATATGATAAATAAATGTTATAATTTTTAATGATATTTGTACATAAGGATTTTCCATAATAGTTTAACAGAATATGTATAGTAATAATAAAATAAAATACTAAATGGGGTTTTTTAATATATTTATTTATTTAAAATAAAAATATTTACCAGCCAATCCACAAAATTATAAGATATACACTATATTTTCATAGGTAACATGATGATATTTTATAAATTATGATTAGTAATAAATAATATTGGGATTTAAATTAAACTATATTTAGATTATAATAATGATGATTATAAGGAATGCTTAAAATCTATACGGAATAATATTACAGCTAGTTTTAATACTACTAAAATTAATGAACGCTTGAAATAATAAATTACGAGGTTTTAATAACTATTGATCCTTTTTTTCATCATCAAACTCTTTTTCATCTTCACAATCATTATTTTCATTTGTTATATCAACAGGTTCATTAAATGCTTGTTTAACATAATAATAAATAATTATTTGTACAATAATAACAGCAAATATAACGGATATAGCAATAACTCTATATCCTTGGATATTTAAAATTTGACCAAGAAAATATTTCATAGAGAAGAATCCAACAAATGGAAGAGTAAACATAAGAAAACTATAACCTAATAAAAACCACATAACGTGGCTTTCAAAATTGGGTTCCATAATCAAAACGTATAAGTTCAATAACAAAGTTAAATTGGTAAGTACAGATTTAATGAACAAAAATTATTAATACGATAAATGATTAAATCGCGAACAATTTTAAAATTGGATGCCTCGTGGTTTAAAATGTACTAATAAATTTACAAAACTTGTAAACTTCAGTTACCAGGCTGGTCAAGCGGTGATGCCATCGGATTAAGTTGGGAGCGTGCATAGGATTTAGCTTGTAGTTGCCTTGATGCTGATAAACACAACTTTTTGCGTGGTGGCTGTTCAGCTGTCTCTGCTGACGATAAAACTGTCATTTTTCTTAACCCTAGAATATAAAATAATAAACAATCATTTCACACAGTCCAAATTACAGTTTGTTATTAAATATATAAATTAGGATCCATATTATCAATGTGTTATTTTTTTTTTTTTTAACTTAAACAATTTAAAGTCTATCTGTCAAAACAGACATTAATATTAAATAAATGGTTCTGTTGATTATTTACATATTTTAAGCTATAAATTACATTATATCATTGTTAAATGACAAAAAATTACACACACAATTAATTGTTAATTTATTAATTTGTATATCTACTATTAAAATTAAATTTTCTAAGTGGATAAAATATAGGTACCTGATTTAGATATTTTTTTGTTATATGTATATATATTGTTACTTAATCTTTGTTTTTTAATTTATTACCGCATTCTCATATACCTACTACTCAACATGACTACCCTTTTCAATAACTTCACCCACTTCTTCAGTGTACCAATGCTATTTGTTTTACATTTAACTTGAAACCTTTGCTATTTCATTTACATAACATTTTTTAATTGGTAAAAACAATCTTAACCTTAATTTTGTCACTATATTCCAACTCCTAATCAATCATCTTAATATTTTAGATTTTGATTACTAACATTGTCAATCCATTCAACAACCAATACTCAGTTTTACACATCGCCAGTATACCTATAATTTATTTATTTTTGAACATTAGATGAAATTTTATTGGTACTACGAATTCCCAACTTCCATAACTTATAATTTAATAAGACGAATAATTGAGATCAAAACGGTCGCAAAGGGAAAAAAGTTACGTTATTGAAAAAGCAAAAGGATTACATAAATGTTCAACCGTGATAATTATTGGAGAAACGTCACTTGAATATTTAAGAAAACAACTACTGACAATCTTGTTACTCGCGTTGAACACACCCAAAATACAAGGCGGATACAGGTCCCGAGAAACACCCTAATTGACACACAAGGTCGTAAAGGCTAAACGTCGTAACATTTTGCCGAAAGAACACAGATCATATCCTTAACAACAAAAATAATAACAATTTCCGTTGTCGTCGGTAAATAAACACTCACCAATCGGACATAGGAGATTTCATGGAAATGACGTGTGCACATATAATAAATTCACGGTCGATAAACGGTGTTTGTTTGAAACTCGACTGCGGGATAATGGACGAACGAATTCGCGTACGATAAACCTCTCGACGGAGAATCGACGTGCGTGGCACAAATTGTTATTTTCTCGAAGATGTGTGACAGACAGCGAAAACATTAAATTAATTATCACGATTTACGGGCACAGCTACAACACAAGATAGTCCACACTCCACCATTTTGTAGTGGTGTTAACAACACACGAACACACCGACAAAATTGCGCGCGTGTGTGTATAGCTCTGGAGGAGAAAACGGTTTCTGGACATGTGAAATCGTAATTCGTAGACCTATATTCCGTTTCCGCTGTAGTATCAAACCGTCTGTCTGAGTTTTATTCATTATTATATTGTCGTTTTTCCTTATACTTTTCAGACTAGACTATTGTTGCGTGCTAAAAAACAAAAATCACATATTCATCAACGGATAACAGTTTTTTTTTTTCGCCGGCCGAAAAATCATAATCATAAGAGCAGAGATTTGGTACCTTTTTGTAGGGAAGAGGCTAAATAGCAGAATAATTACAACATGTTTATACTTAAATATAGTTTTATAAAGGATCAATTTTAGTTTTTAGGTGGAATTTTGCACAATCTTAGAGACAAAGTCTCTTACCGTCACCTATGGGCAACAGTGCTAGTCTATTATCCTGAAAGCAATATTTGACAGCTGACATCCGCGTAATTCTTATCACAATTCATTGTTATCATATAGATCTTGTTCTTCCAAGACCGAGAGTCTCCCTCTTCATTCTATAGCGACACGCTCATCGTTTTCAGGTTATAGTCGGTTTGTTTACTATACGATAATATTCCTTTTCTTTCCCGAGTGTGTGTAACTCGAGTTTATTTTCAAATTTCATTTTTGACTTCACGCATTAAACAAGGTATGAAAATTTCGTTTTGTCATATTAATATTTGGTTTATAAATTATCATACGTGTTCGAAGCTGCTTGCTTAAAATTTTATGCCGAACGTCCGCAAATTTGAAGGATCAGATTGGATAAAAATATTAAAAGCTGTACCTATTTTGTATGTATTTTAGATGCCCGAAGCATCCGTCAAAAAACCCAGCAAATCGGCCTCAAAGGTCAAAAAAGAAAAAGTCGATAAAGAGGCACCCGTCAAAGAGAAGAAAATTGTCAAGCCAAAAAAACAACAGAAGAGGCCCTATGGACGTTTGTATGCGAGAGCAGTGTTCACAGGTTTCCGTCGAGGACTCCGCAACCAACACGAAAACACTGCTTTACTAAAAGTTGACGGATGTGATTCGAAATCCGATTCTTGGTTTTATGTTGGAAAACGTGTAGCTTACGTTTACAGGGTATATATAAATTTCAATTAGTTTTGCCGTATTTTGTATTGTTTTATCCGATATGCAGATGCTGCATTTATTAGGTTACAGTATTGCTTGATATAAAGTACAAATAAATTCATAGAATTTTCTTTCTAAATAAGTAATTCTATCTAGATTTACAATTAAAATTCTTTGTTTTTGTATAACATTTTACACGATGAACCTCTTGTAAATTATAGCTGGGGAAATTTTATTCTCATAAAGAATAAAATGTTAGAGTGTGTGTTCCTTATTAAAGTTGGTGATATCAATCATTTGTATTTTGAGGTCTTTGAAAAACTTCTGATTGACTCTAGGTGTATATGATGAACAAACAAAATGCTCAGGAATATTTATTTAAATTTTTTATGGGTTAGTTATAAATATTATGTTTTGAGTTCTAATTTAATTTAACTAATAATAGTTAAAATTAATATTTTTGGGTAACATCTTGGAAGCCAAACCAGATTTTCCCTACATAATAAAATAAAAATTATCAAGTTTTATATTTTTTTTTTAGACTAATTACTCCCCTATTTTTTTTTTTTTTTTTTGTTATCTACATAATTTGATTTTGGTTTAGGCCAAGAGATTGGTTCCGGTTCCTGGACGCCCAAAGAAGAAGTCAAAGGTTCGTGCAATCTGGGGTAAAGTAACTCGTCCTCATGGTGCAACTGGATCTGTACGAGCTAAGTTCAAGACCAATCTTCCTGCTAAAGCAATGGGTCACCGTGTCAGGATTGTAAGTACCTTATTATATTTTTTAATATTAAAAAATTGTTTACACTATTCTTGGTATTCGATTCAGAGCGTAGCAAAAGACAAATCTGTATACATTTTTTTGCTTTGATGTATAGTGTTCAAGGTAATTTTATCTAGTTGGTGCATAGCACAAGTGTTTTGATTTTTAAAAATAATTGGAAAAAACCATAAAAGAAAATTATAAGTAAAACAGTAAATATTTGTGGCAAGCTAATATTTCATTTTTTTCTTTTTCTCTAACTTTTACCAGTAATGTTTTTCCAATCGAAGAATGACAAGAGATGATTTTTTTGTTAATATATAGCCACTATCAAAGAAAGTCAATTTTTGATTACCAAAGTAGTCTCTTACTAAGTGGAAAAATTTAAATTAATTAATATTTACGGCAATCTTTGGCGCCCCAATATAATAATTTTAATTTTTGCAAAAAATGTAATTTAATGTTAAACAAGTGCTTTTTTAACCAATATATTTATGCCAAATGAAATAAAAATAATTTTTGCAAATGATGTTTTCTATGAGAAATATTGTTCCAATTTAAAAATGACTAAGTTCCATTTAATATTTAGCCACTGACAGAAGAAGACATTTTTATAATAATTAAGAAAAACCAAAAAAGTATGAAATTTACAATTTAATTTTTTTTTTTTTTTTTTATTATGAACAATTTCATTATTTAAAATTTATTTATTGTTATTTTTATACCAGAAATCTGTCTGAATTTCATAAATAGCATATTTTCTAAAAGAAAATAGTGTCGTTTGTAAGTCTTTTGATTGTCCATATAGTTTTCTTCTTAATTATAAATGACTGTGGAAATAAGGCATTTGAGTTTTTCAGTTAAAAATTATTGTGGATCCCTGTAGTTTTCACTTATTTTGGGCTTTAGTAGATGTAAAATATTCAACATATTTTAGGCTATAGGTATTTGATATGTTTACATATTTTTATTTGGTAAATGCATTAACATTTAAAACAAATGATAACTTGTTATTTTGTAATTGTAGAAGAAAAATGGAACTGATGTTAAATTAAGATCGTTAATGAATATATATATCACAATAATAATAATAATTATTTATTTTATAGAATAATAAAATTAACTAGTCATGAAAGTAAATTAATACTCTACAGATTTGATTATTTAATATTTCCTTTTGATTTATAATTTTAATAAAGAATAAAAAACAAATTATAAACTCTTATTTCATCTGTAGTTTCAAAATAAATTAGTCTGTTAATACTTGTATTAAAATTTCATAAATATTTTAAATAATCTCTTGGTACTTGTATGATTTTTTTTCCTATTTTGTTAATTATTATATTTTGTCTCTGATTATCAATTAATTTATTATCACCAATAATTTGTAATTTTCGTCTCTTAACTAGAGTTGCATATTTTATATAAAATAAACTCCAATTTACAAGATACAAATTATTTTTACTAAGTTATAATTTTAGGAAAATTTGAAAATAACTTTTATTCTTACTTAATGACTTTATATTAAATTATTTTTACTATTACTAGTTGAAAAGAATGATCAGCTTTATTGTACATTAACATTAACAATTTTTCAATGTATTAATAGTTATTTATTTATTTTTTGTTTCAGATGTTGTATCCTTCTCATATATAAGTTTATATAACATATTTGACAATTTTAAGTTTTAAACAAAAAAAAATAAAACAAAAAAAATTGTATAAATTGTTGTTTTGTATTTGTTTTTTTTTTCTTATGATAGTTATTATAAATAAAAAAAATATCCTTATTTTCAAGGTATCATAGTATAAATTGGACAATCCTTCCAACTTAAAATTGTACTTGCTAGTGGACTATAACCGTGTTTGACTAAAATCGCGGATAATCTTAATGTTTCGGGTGCTGAAATTCCATTTTGACGAGTTACCACTACTGTCCACAAGTGGGAATAATCTGATCCTTTTAATCCACAAAATGCCAATATCAAATGTTTATCAGGGTCTGTATCGATAACAGTTGCTCTTACATCTCCTGTTAAAACCTTTGAATGTAGTATAGTTAACATTTATTTTTTAAACAATATACCTCCCAGTGGACTCTGTATTGACCAAACTCCATCCTCCTGTATTACAGTTGGAAGCTCAATCACAGCACTATGATCTCCAATTTCTAGTGGATTATCTATGTTCCATATTTGTTTCAACATGGTTTTGTTGTATCGCAACAACTCCCCATGAATACATACACCATCTTCGATTAACTCTTCATGTTTCGTCTCAATGACCATAATAGCCAAGAACCATTTTCCCAATAGCTGTAGTCAAAATAAAAGTAGATTTTTAATCGCAACACGTTTAATAATGAATTGGATGTATATACTTATTTATTTATTGGTCTAGATATTATTTTACCTGATCGATATTGACTTTGGTGATGGCTTTATGATTTGGACATGAATTTAATTTTTGAGTATCTTGCTGTTGTTGAACGGGGACACTGAATATTGAACATATTGAAATAATTAATAATTGAAGCATTAAAAATTTTGAAGAACCCATTTCACATGTATAACGTATAAAAAACAAATGCATTAGACTAGGTCTGGTGAGTTAGACAGTTTGTATGTGTAGGTAGTTTGAACTTAACCAAGATAAAATCTACCCTTTAAATAGGTCAAATAGTAGTATTTATTTTTTTAATTATCTGAATTTGCACATCCTGTCAACATTTTAATACTCGTTTAATATATATAATCTATATACATTATTATTAGCAAATGTGTTATATCATTATATTTATACATCAATTTAACTCCTACTGTGAATTAAAGATTTTGTAAAAAAAAAAAAAAATGATTATGATATGCACATTAAGTGTTTTCTGTAGTTGTTTTATTTCGTATATTTTATTGGATTTTAAAAAAAAAGTCTTGCTCTGATATATAGTGTAGTATCATTTCAAATCTTTTTTTTTTTTTTTTAATAATTGAGAAAACCATGAAAAAAAATTGTGTAAAATATCAAATATTTACAGTACTGCAAAGTTATCATTTTCATTGTTTTTAATTTGTTTTTTACCAGAACTGTAGCTCCAATTTAAAAATGACAGATTGATTTTGTTCCTTTTAATATTTCATCACTAACAGAGAAAGACATCTAAATTATCATTATTGATTGCTTAAATATTTTTCCTATGAATTGGGGAAAATAAAAAAATTAATATTAATGTACCAGTTTTTTATTTTAAATTTTGCAACCTGTTTTCTACCAGAAATATTGATCCAATCAAAAAATTACAAAAGACCTTTCTTTTTTGTTGAATTTTTAATCTAGTTTGTAAGAAATTTATTTATTTTTTGATTTTCTTGATAATTTTTTAATAATTGAGCAAAACTGAAAAATTTAAGAAAATAATTCTGTTTTTATTTGAACATTTTAAATGTTAAATGATAAAATGTTAACAGAAAGCTTATATTTTTTTTTTTCATTTTGGATGTCTTTAACATAATTTTTATTTGGTAGGTACTCTGTAAATAAAATTGTTAAACAAAACAAAAATGCTTGTTCATTTTACAAGATATTTATTACAAGTCCTACAGTATTGTGTGATTTTTTATATATATAGGTAAAAGTTAAAACCTAATTTTGACAAAAATCGTAAATATTGCCTTTCAAAACATTTCTAAACTAACTTTTTTTCAAATCATTATCATTGGTTACAGATATAAATTAAATAATTCTTGTATACATCCTACATCAGTGGCTGCACCTGTCCCCAGTATCAACTTTATTCAATATTTTCAGATTCTATGACACTGAAAGGTGTTCCACTTAAAAATTAATTGAAGCAAATTTTTTTTTGAAAACCTTTATTATCTTCTCGCCACTCTATTAATTATTATCATTTTTTTATTATTCATAGTATTTATATTTCTTTTTATTTAATGTAATAACATTGAATAACTTGTCTTGTTTCACCTCGTTACAAAATAATACAATAACAATTTGACAGCCTCCAGATAAGAGGTTGTCATTTTTTCGAATATGGTTATTCAAACTTAATCCCTTTTACCCACAGACCATCAAATTTACATCAAAATATTTTCTGTACAAAATTTAAGTCTCATTTTTTGAAGTTTTCATTACATAATGTGAACTCTGTATGCATTTTTTGATTATACATGGTATACTCTTAAATGAAATAGATATTTAAAAGAATATGTACATTTTATATGGAATTATTATAGTAAACCAACTTTGATGAGAAAGTTATAATTCTATTACAAGTACAACACATTTATGATAATTTTATTTTTGATTATTGCTTTGAATGTATACTGCTTCACAAATTACTTAAAATCTTAAAATTTTAAAATTAAAAGATCTTATTAAGATTCAATGGTGTATGAGGAAATAGAGTAATACCATATTCATGCAATAATAATCAATCATAGAAAACTATATTTTAAATTTTTTGTTAAACTTATTTTATGACAACATAATATTACTATCATTTAAAACAACAAAAGCTCTTGGTTTTTTTTTTATATATATAATATGGATTTTATTGTACATAATAGAATATATTTTGGTCATCAAAGAAGTTTTAAAATCTCACTTTTTTTAAAAAAAAATGCATGGCTCATATACATTAAAGTTGTTTGTATGACCTATACATATGGTTTACTTTTAAGATGTCCACTACCCAGTAGTTGTGGTTCTAACTACCTACTGATGTACAAAAGTAATGTGGGTCATATGGCCCCTGGTTACTTTTGTATGCCATCTTGATGACTGATAGAATTTATATAATTGTTTATTTCATTGTGAAATAGGAATAATATACATTTTACAAAACAATGGCATTATAGGCATTAGTTCAATGTGGTAATAAAAACTATTATTAAAACTTAATAAATAATACAATTTTTTTCTTTAATATACATTTTCTGAATATATTTTGGATAAAATAATTAGAAATGGAATGTTAAAATAAAAGTGACCAATCTAACAAAAAAAACAATGACATAAATATAATTTGGTGAATGAATTTTTCATACGTCCTCTGGATTAAACATTCCCTATAATCAATAATCAAATTATTATAGCCATTTATAATTTCAAATAAAGATTATTAAAATTGTACACACCTTGGCACGACGTAAAATTGAATCTTTACTAGCATCGTACGGATGATCCTTTGATGGAATTTCAAGAACAGCTGGGATTGGCTGCGTATGTCCATCAATTACATGACGGATCAATTCAGCAACCTATTATAACAATCAAAATTTAAATATATTCTCAGTTTTAATGTTTTTGGAATTATATATATCACATACATTTTGATTTATGAGTATAATATCAATGTCATCCCGTTTCACAAACCCTTTGAAACATTCTTCGATATCAATTATCGCCGTATCTAAACATAGATAAAATACAATTACAAACTGTCTATGCAGTATGAACTGCACGTTTTGTAATCGACATTACTTTTGTCGACGACCATAAAATTTGAGTGCCTGTGTTTGTTTATCTCACCAATACCACCCAACAGAAAACCAACACAAGTGTCCTAAAACAAAAAATCGAACTAAACACCATGGCGTACAACACCATATGTCTTTTTTAATGGTTGGACAAACGATTTTGAGTAACATAAGACGAAAAGGAAAAACGTGTGCCATCCAAAAAGGGCGGGTCCTCTTCGCGAATACAACACGACGGTCGATTTCGCAAGACAAATACAATAATGAATTTACTTATTCGTACTTACTTCGTCACCGATCACGGCCAATAATTTACCCTTTACTGCGGAGTGCATGGCCATTTTAAACGTATTAATCTTTATTTGTTGTTTAGATTTAAACGAAGACGATTATTTAATAAATTGTTCTCTCGAGTGAGAAAAACACGATAGCATAACTACCTACTCTACGCTCTTATCAACTATCGTGTTTCGACTGATAAAAAAAAAACAAATAAACATATGGTTTTTATCAGAAGATATCTTGACCGTGGTTATTATATTTCTGTACAAGTAGTCGGGAAAGACGATCGATGGTTGTTTCCGTTTTCCGCCCAGGTCACCACTGAATAACTATGTTTACGCGTTTATATTAGGTATTTATTGTTAAAACTTCATTTTACATTGATTTTAATGAAATAATATTATTGAAAAACTACTGCTCTCCCTCCCTGGTTGTTGACGAATTAAAAATTTAACTTCGGGAAATCTTGGAATATAAAGGAAGTATAAAGGATAGGTAGGTACCTAATATGTATACTGTACAGTAATTTTGTTTTATTAGACGGAAGACAGCATAATATAATAAATGTATGTAAGTACCTGCTGTATTTGTGTATGAATGAAAAAAATGTATGAACTATTTTTTAATTATAAATTAATGTTTACATTTTATTAAATCGTATGAATACAGTGGAACCTCCGTTATACGAAGCCCCTACCTTTTGGATACATGCGCACTATACGGTTGCCCGCTATGCGGCGTACCGCAAACCACGAACTTTATGTATATTCCGTCTATATCGAAATTTGTTTACGCACTAAGTTACGATTGCCCGCAAACCGGTCGCTTGGAGCGCTGCGGCCACGCCGACGGTTATCCGCACTTACGCGGTCTGTGTGCGGCTAACCGTCATGGTTTTATTATTTTATTTCCGCAGCGCCAAGCGTTCATTGCGGTATAGCGCGTCGCAGCTTGTCAGCTCATCATTTGAAAATGGATAATTTTGTCAGAAAAATATAAACGTATATGTTCCTACATACTTTGAGGTTATATATTTCTAAATGCATAATGCAATCGTAATATATAATTGTTTGTTTTCAAGAAAAGTAAAATTGTGTTTTTAAACAATTTCCATTATCCGAACTAGGTGTGGTCCCAATTATTTCGGATATTCGAGGTTCTACTTTACATTGCACGTTTATTACATAATAGATATAAACTTTTCGAACACTTTTTAAATTATTTTATTCGATAATATTTCCTTAAATCACTATTGATGATGAACTGTATGAATGATCGTAATGAAAAAGAGATGTTTACACTTGTCAATCACCAACAAGAGGTCACTTTCAAAGTTTGTATGGGAAATGTCTACAATTTCTTTGAGCTATGGACACCATAGTGTTGGTGGTTAAATGAAATTTAGCCATACTTGACTGAAGTCTGCGAAGGTTTATGGTGTATACAGTACCAACCCACACCCGAGCTTGCATACTATTGCATATAAAGTATAAATAATTACAACTAGGTAACACTTATAAGTTAAAACACACACACAAAAACAAGACGTCTCAGCTATTAAAATTAATTTATAAAGTATTTTTAAATTATAATTTGATCTATTCTGTGATATTGTTCTCAACTAAGAAATAGTTACGGTAAAAAGCCCAAAAAATGTAATTTCCACCAGATAAATAAAAAATATAATAAATTGATCACTTCAATATTTTAATACCTACCATCACAGAATTAAACAATAGACGTGGTATTTAAAATAATAGATGGACCAATAATTCCATAAATCGAAGACATTAGAAATAACAATGAATCAAATTAAGTAGGTAGGTACAATTTCAAAATATTTTATCAGAATTCGCTGCGAAACGTAAAATCACAACTATGTCAAAAACGGATTTTCGTCAGGGATTGAAAATTGCCTACTTCTTTCATTTACCTAGTATGTACCTACCTAACCTACCTAACCTAGCATGTATCTACCTTTCGTGTACCAGTCTGCTGACTGCTACCATTTCTAAATAAATTATCGATACTTTTTTTTTATAAATCTAGGGTGTAACCTTTCGTTTACCACAAAGTGGGCCAATCTATTCCAGTCACTTGGGAGCGGCCACCCTTCTTCTCTTTTATTAGTTTACAAGTCTATAGTTAGAGCCTAAGCGCCTGGATTGACTATGGTTCTTTTTTATATGGAGCAGCTTAAAAATTAACTCTTATTAAACTCAATTATTATCAAGACATGTACCTACGTTCTATTATTGGTGCTCTTCGTACCGCTCCAGCTCTAGAAGTCGAGTTATGCGTTCCCCTTTTGGATGTTCGAGCTTACTGGCTTAGCAGTAAATTCCTTTTAAAAGCTTGCCTTCTCTCGGTCTCCATGCTTCCCTCCAGTCTTTATCTATCGATTTTTTGAACTTGGCGCTACTCCGTTAAATTTATCCCACTTTTATCTAATATTAACGATTATCTTCACACTTTTTTTTCGTTTATTCATTGTTTATTGATTATTCAATCATTCGCCTGCCTTTGTACGATTCGCCTTTTAAATAAAAGTTTCCGTTATTGTTACCTCCTCATTCTTACGCTGTCCGGTTTTTCCCGCCTTCTATCATAAACTACACTTTATGAGTTCATTACTTCTCTGTATCTTGATTTTTAACAAATATTTACAGATTTTCAATCACGTTCCCCTATCTGTCTCATCTTTTACAATTTGCTACATATGAAACCTTTCAACCATCAAATTATTAGGTATTCATAATTTTGTCATTTGTTCTGATTCTCAATCATGTTCCATTTGGCATTAAATTCTTCCCCTTTCTTTTCCGCTGTTTCCTATCTCATACTTCAAATCCGCTCTTCTCCCATTCCAATTCTGGTTACACAACCCAGAACATATTTTAAAGAATTTTTACTAGTGAATTTTCTATTTGCAGAGGAACATATAGAAGAAACCAAGTCAAGTAACAACGAGACCAGCGAAGCCTACTAGCGGAAGTTCAATGCTCAAATAACAATCACGAAAACATTAAATAGTACCTAGCATAGTCATAACTCATACAAATTATAAAGAAGACGATAATGGTGGACGATTTCTGAAGAAATTAATAATTAAAAATATAACGTGTACTATTATCGTTTTTTACATATCATAATAAATCTATTCATATTAAAACAATTCCGGCGTACATGGCATATAGTCTAGTTCTAATTGTTCTATGTTCATTATTCAATAAAATATTGTTTCTTTTATAACTTACAATAAACCGTTCAAGAACTCAAAATAGTTGAATAGTATCAGTGACAACATTGGTTGACAACGGATAACACCAAATGGCAACTGCACTACTGTAGAGACCAATTTTCTTTTCATTTCTATGTATTCATCTTATATAATCATTAATTTCATTCAAATTATTTTGGGTCAATGTAAGAATTTCAGTGGTACTGATATTTGGTCCGTGATGGCACGAACGCCCACCACTAGGTAACATTAAATTATCCTTGAGGGGCACTAGTGCCACGTACTTTGTATGTTAAAATATACTCCGACACAATCCATTTTTTCTGGGTTCCTAGCCTAGTGAACGAAATCGCGGACAAGCTCGCTGCGTCATGGTCCTATTCCATCCCTTCTCCAATTAAAATCCCTTATTCCAACTTTACCCCAGTTCTTTAAGTTCATGCTTTTTGGTCGTGGAATCGTTATTTTACTCCCTACATTTATTTCCTCTTTTCGCCTTATCTGTCCTTTTATCATACCCTTTCCCTGGTTCTACAAAATTCCTTTTTTCGAAGTACCATTGTCTCTTACTCCCGCCTCAGATTCGGGCATAACCGCCCCCCTGCTCACGCTTGTTACTTATCCCTTAATGATTCCCCTTTTCGTGCTCATCATGACGGTTCCTTCATCTGCAATTCCTCTCATTTCTTTTTCAACTGTTCTGCTCTTACCAATATGCGTCTTAAACTTTCTTTTTTATGTACAGCTAATACTTTCCCTTTAGTCTCCCTCATATTTTCCAATCTTCTAATGTCTTCCTTACCTATTTCATAATTAATTTTTTCATTTCCGAAGGTTTTCTATTATAATATTTTGCTGTTAGTTCTGAAATTTTCTGTGTAACCGCTGAGGTATATGTATTTTATTAAGTCTTGAATAAAAAAAAAAAAAAAAATCTAGAGTGCTAATTCAATATTTTAAATTAGTACGCTACTAAATTTGACTTAAAAAGAAAACTTTTTGACAATTCTCGTTTATGAAAAGGTACTTGCAGCAATGATTTATGTACATTTGAATTTTCCAATAAGATAAAAAGGAACTATACTTACCTATATTACATACTATCTTGTTTACAGTTTATTGAGTAAATTTTTTTTATTTTAGTAGATATAAAAAAAATAAAAAAAATATAACTACAAATTTTGTAATATTTCATTAAATTTACGGTTTTATTTGGTGAAAAGTAGCGAATTTGTGATTTTTTCCTATGAAAAATGTGTCTAGTGTTATTGCTTTATACACTGTTTAACAAAATAAAGTTGTACATACACTAAACAAGGTAACTATCGCTATACAAATGGTACCTATAGCCACTACTTCAAACTTCTCACTTGTGAAGTAAATGAAGAAGTAACTGTAATTACAAATAAGACAATTATTTAATAATAGTAAAAATTGTTTTTTATCGTTAGACTCAATTGAAGATAAGTTTACATCGGAGATTTGAAAATCAGAAATTAGAAATTGCATCAAGCTTCAATTTTTCACCGGTTTGGTCTTTGTTGGTGATATGATTATTCCTTACTTTACTTAAAGCATACTGTTATAGTAACTTACCTAACCTGTTATAGTTAATTTAGTTAAGAGGTCTATAATAGTCCAAAGATCTGCTGGTAGAATTTACACACAATGCTCTTTTAAATTCAGAGATAGGTACCTTCTATGATCTTTTAGTTTTAATGAAAGATACTACAGAATATAAATCAGCTATCATTGTAATTTTAGTTTTCTGTGTATATTTATTTAAGGTGGTAGGCAATAGTGGCACATTTGAGGGAACCGATAGGAGTAAACCCTCACCCATCCCTCGAGTTTTTGTTGAATTAATTTTGTTTTTTCTTATAATCCAGTGAAAAATATTCCCAGTGATGCGAAATTTCCTCAGAAAATTTATATTAGTACTCTTTACATAGTAAAGTACTATAGTAGGATTAGTCAATTAGTACAATTTCAAAAATACTTTAGCGCTGTTTAAGATTCTTACCTATTTATAACTTTTTAAAATTGTCTAGTATTTTAAGTTTTATATTGATGTAATTTTTTACCATTTCAAAAATTATCGAATATTTGATATATGGTTCATTGTAAGTTATACTTTATAATAAAAAAAAATTTTATAAGCATTTTAAGTTAAAATTTATGATAAACTTATCATAAATAATCAAATAATGTTTATAAAACAATACTTAACTAAACTCCACTTTTACTCCTACAAAATGAGAGAGAAGGGCACAGGTACCCTATTAATAAGCTTTCCAGATATACCAGTTTCACGGGTATGTCCTGGTACTGAGCTGGTCAATCACTTTGTCCCAGTTATTATATTCTGGGACAAAATAACATTTACCTAATATTATTTAATAATAAACACTAATAAATTATGTATCATTATATAAGTTAATAAATATTTCAATAAAAAAATAATAATTTCAATATATATTGGTTTCGCAATTTCAAAATCTGGCAACTACCTATTTAGTAAAGATAAAGAATAAATATCCAGAAAAAAATTAAGTGATAATTTATTATTATTCATTCATTTTAAATGAAACATTCTAACTTCACTTATATTTTGACATCCAACCTTCTTCATACCACTTGTGCAGCAAATAATCTACCAGAGTGCGCTGTTAAAATCTTCTATTGTATCACTCATTTAAGTTATCAAACGTTTCATACTATGTTCTCCTCTATGTTTTCCTATGCCCTTGCTGTTTAATTGATTAATTAATTCTTATAGCCTACTTTTATATTAGGTAAATATCCCTCCAAATTCCAGTGTTAAATTAAGCAAAAACTATAAACAAAGTTTATAGTATTCTAAAAACCTCTTACTCTATATTATATAATACTAAAACTGCTACTGACATTTACTGTTGTAAGGGGCAACATGAGAAAATATGTACGTTACATAAAATGTAATTATTATTTTGGTTGAAATGAGTTTAAACACAGATAAAAATATTTAAAGAGTAGAATATTTTTGAAAGCATCTATTGGCTTTTTCCTAAAATATTGTTAAATAAAAATAATAAGTACAGCCATATTAGTTTTTGATTCTTTAAAAAAACAGTATAACTATTTCCAATAATTGTAGATATAATATAGTAACATAATTACTATGTATTAAATTACTATGACCACAAAGTATTGTACACAAAACTTATTGATTTATAAAAGTAATATTTAAATTTAAAAATTTAAAAAATATGAATATTTATTGTAATTGGATTTTAAGCCTGTGTTTTAAATGATAATTAATAAAATTAACATTTATAACTTTTCTATTAGTAATTACCAAATATGAATTATCATAAATTTAAGTACATTTCATATTCATTAGAAATTGTTTTACATAATATAGATATCATATATTGGGTATGGTATACCCAATATATTATAAATATTAGGTTCACAGGTTATATTAGGTTATATTAGATAGGTTAAGGTGGGTAGTCTATATAATGACTTTTTGTTCTAGAATATTGATAAATATATTTAATCAAAACAACTTAATAAAATCACAAAATATTCTATGAAGAAACTATTAGAACATTTAATATTATAATTTAAAACTGAATAAGTATTAATAATATTGTCATATAATTATTAAATTTCAATAGAATTATGAACCCTTTATTTAATAAAGGTTCTTTAATAGGTACAAATGCATTTGTTGTTTCCGTCTTGCAAACGCACAATATAGTTAAAACATGCTTACACAGACTACAATGAACTCTCTTCATTTTGGTTTTAGAGTAAAAATATCTATCATAAAATCAAAAAAGAACTATATTCTGAAGGGCAAGTCGTTGCATTTTTTCCATTTTCTCCGGACATAATAGACAAATTATCATTTATAAGTAACGACTTTTTCAGTGTTTTATTTATTAGCTAAATTTTTTTCAAAAAAAACGCAACGTTTTGCTTTCCAAATTACTGTTTTCTATTAATTTCATAATAGGTGCTTTTACTCTAAAACCAAGAGAGTTCTAAGTAGTCTGCGTAGGCATGTTTTTACTATATATTGTGTTTGTAAGACAGAAACAACAAATACATGTGTAACCTAAACGTACTTTTCAGATCATATAATATGTGGGACTATAATGGAACTATGCGTTACTATAATGATACACTGTGTTACCATATGATAGATGCCTATACAATACTAGTAATAAAGTGCCTAAACAATAATTTTAAATGAATACATAATAATAAATAAAAGGTACCAGTCAATAAAAATTGGCAGTTGTTCAAAGGAAGGTAACAAAATAAATTTAGAAATATCTTTTACCAAAAATTGTAATAAATAACTCATATAAAAAAAGTGTTACTTTTATTTTATCAACAAAACTATACGTTCATAGAGTACCATAATTTATAAACAATTTGTTGACATTATGATTAGGTAATACTATTTATACGCTAAGTGTGTGATATTTAAAATTAATTTAATATTTTTATTTTTATTATGATTTAGTTTATTTCATAACTGAATGAATTTCCACCTTTTTCATATATATATAAATATATACATATTCTGTTCAGTTATATTATAATTTCATAGATAAAAAATATTTTTAGTACTTAAAATTCTTTTTTTTAACTTTGACCAGTGTAAATCTAATTATGAAAAAAAAAAAATCATTAAAAGTAATATTTGAGTTAAAAAGTCGCACAAGTACAGATTTAATTTAATATTATCAATAAAATAAATTCAATACAGAAACTATAACTTTTAAATTAAGTTATATGCTAAGACAAACTCAATGACTAACGGTGATGAATATAAGAATAATTACATATTAATTTTAAATATATGTAAGGAAAATGGCTTGTACCTAATATACATTTTTATTAAATATTCAAATACCAAAATAAATAAATGTATTTATAAAAAGGTATAGTATGAAAACAAATGAACTCAATTTGAATTTGTATTAATTATTTAATACTACGATTAAAATTCAAAAAACAGTATTTACAATAAAATATACAAATTATTGAGGTCATTTGCATTTAATGTTTATTTTAAATAAATTACTTTTAATCATAGTTAAAATTGCCATTATCTTGATGCCTTTCATAAACATCAACATCAGCGTCTTCCTCTTCATCAGCTACTTTTACATCTCCATCTTCTTCTCTATCATCATACTCCATTTGTTCATCATCAGGTTGTAATAACTTTTCTATTTGACTTTCAACCATATTCCTCTTTTTTCCTAAAATATTGCTCAAATATGTACGAGTCTTTTCCAATTTTTTTTCAGTCTTTTCATTATGTATTTTAGGCAAGTAAAAGACCGAGGGGTCAAATTCCGTTTTAATAAAGTTCATTGTGCAATTTATTTGACGTTCAAATATTTCGAAATTCCTTACCAATCCCATTTTAATTTCTATATTTTTTATATCCCTCTGCTGTTGTTTTCTTTGCATAAATAATTCTCTTTTTCTAATAACTAAAGATTCTTTTTCTTTAAGCGCTTCTTCTTCGAGTCTTCTTTCAATTTTAGCTTTTTTTTCTTCTTTATCTTTCAACTGAGTTTCTTCTTTTTTAAACTTTTGTAATGTGCCTAATAAGGATCCAAACATACGTCTATTTCGTTCTTTTGTCACTTGATCACCTTGTTGAGCAGCTAATACTTCAGTACGAGATTTCATTATTTTTGATGATAACATAACTTGAGACTGAAGTGTTTTTTTCGGTATAGGATCATCATCCATTTCGTCATCATCATATTCTTCTTTTACAGGATTCTGGTCTTCATCCGTTACAACAGTACCTAAACGATCTTTAGCAGATATTCTACCTGAATTATTTCCATTTTTAAAACTTTTTGATGTATCATTTGAATTGATGAAAACCTTACGATTTTGATTATCGATTCTATAAGGCTTATCATTTTCTCGTAGACGTTTGACATCTTTCTTAATTGGTTCTTTTAATTGTTGTTTTTGGTCTATACCTATTTGTAAACGCTTATTGAATTTCCCATGGTTTAAATGATCATCAAACGTATCGCGGCCAGTAATTTTTTTCAACGTTTCGTGTACATCACTCAAACCTTGGCGTTTTTTCACCAAATGTTCTTGCAAACGATCCAACAAAGTGGTCATGTTTAAAATAAAATTGTTTTCGCACACAACAAACGATAAAAAAAAAAAAAAACGGTGTAAGTAAAAAACGTATTATTATGAATGCCCACAATTCACAGATTCACAGTTTTTAACGGTCTTCATCAACAAGTAATATTAATTGCATACAAACCTTAGAAGAGTAATAAGTGCCAATAATGTGTGACTTGATCAAGTGAAAAAGAAAACAAAGTACCTATATAGGCAATGTTGCAATGAAACTCTTTGAATATTTTGTTCGCCTGTTATCAAGTTTGTCAAAGCGTGTGTTTATCTTTTTCGCAAACGCATCATTAAATTATGATAGGAATGATTTCTCGACCACGGAAATATTATTTTTCAAAAAAACCCGCGTTTTTTACTAACAAAATATAGTATTATTATTCTCAGTGAATGATGAATGAATAAACATTAACAATAATCAATATACCTATTTTAACCTATTTGTATGAATTTTATACGTTGTATTTTTATTATGTTTACAACGCGATAGTAATATTGCTTAAGCTTTATATAAGATCACTATCGCCGAAAATCAGTTTAAAAAATTAAAATACTGGTTAATCTGAACCACTATCAACGATCCCGATTTATTTATAGTTTATATTTATTAATTTATAAATATACCAGTTCAGGTAGAACACCTCTGGGTGCATATGATGCTACAGGACTTCGCTGATGGAAAACTCAGGCGGGTGATTCTTGTAGACATATGGTATTGTTTCTATAGGATGGAGGAATTCACTTTATATTTAATAAAAGGTACCATTCTTTCCGTGTAAAGAGATTAGAATTCTCATATGGTACCACCAAACGGGGTTGTTTCAGGTCGACAGGTAGTTAAAAATTGTGTCAAATATTTGTTCAAACATAGTTGGATAAAGTGGAGAGTGTCAGCTGTTTTATGTGATAAGAAAATTCCAATGAGACTTAAAATTAAGTTTCACAAAATTATGATTAAACTGACTTTGTATTATGGTGCAGAGTATTGTATGAAAGACAGAAAAAGAGAACAAAAATGAGTGAAGCAGAGATGAAAATACTTAGATAAAATAAGGAATGAGAACATTAAAGGTATTTATGAGAGGGAGACACGTATGTAGAGAAAAATAACAATTTTTTTCCAGTGATTAAGGGATGAAAATAAAAAATTGTATTTATCTCTACATGATATTATGTACCCCTTTCAAAAAAACTCTATTAAAAAGGAAAATTAAAAAAAATAAATATTGACAGAGTTATTAGCCGACGGGTAACACTGTAAAATAAAGTGTAGTGATAGTAATAATAATTTAATAACAATTCATAATATAACTTTTATCAATTGTTTTTTAACATCTACATTGTGATATTGTATGTAATTTCGTTGGCAACGATTGGCAGTAAATTTTCCTTAGATCATATACTATGGATAGAGCTACTGCATGATAAACGCACACTACGAGTTGAAGACATCATTATTAACGAGTGCTAAGGAGACTGATGTTTATTGCACATGCGTATCAGTATTCTTCGCATATTTATCGTATAATCATTATAATACAATCAATGATGTTAGGTACGTCACTGATTATGTCACATGGTTATGTGAGTTCGATCAATTGCGCGTATTATAAATTTTGCGCTTGTGCATTAGTCCCAGCTTCCAATGACTCAATAGCTCTATCCATAATATATGATCTATGGCATTTTCGTTATAGGATTTTTATCATTCTACAGATCTTTATCATTTTCGGACCAGTGGCTGATCATAGCTAATAATTATAGATATATAAAATAACTAGCAAACTCTGTAAACAGACTGGCTTGATCACAATTTAAAGTCGTCAACCATTTACAGAGGGGACAAAAATTATTGCAAAATAGGATGTAATTGACATCGATTTAATTATTATCGATTTTTATATTGATCGATGTTTATTATCTTATAATGGATAGAATGTAATAATATGAATAACAACGGTTAAATATCAACCATAACCATAATGAAAAAATACCACGAGACACGCCATCGTCGAGTCACAGTTGTCATCACAGACTTATCATGTATAGTGATGAGTGGAACCAACTAATTTTAAAAACTAGTTTAAAAAACAACCGAGTGATTTATCAATTGAATAGATCATTGTATCCATTAATTGTTTTGATAAATATCGAATGAATTAATCGATAGTTTTCATTCAGAAGTAGCACTGACTGATTTTGACTACCGATAGTTTAAAAAACAATCTAGTACTTTTTAAACTGAACAGATATTATCATTAGAATGAACTATTCGATAGCCCGATAGTTTTCTATCGGTAGTATTGGCACCGACTAGATTACAAAATAGCCGAGTGTTTTTGACTATCGATAGTTTAAAAATAACCTAATAATTTTTCAACTGAAAATAATGTCGATTTTCGGTAGTTTTTAAAAACAACCGAATAAATAAATAGTTCGAAACTATCGAAAAATTCGATAGTTTTCACTCGGTAGTGTCCATCACTAATCGTATAGTATATTATATAAGGATCTAAAATCACAGATATCTATACTATAAATAGTATTGTATAGATGTCTATGTATACCATAGAATATAGATACCTAAAGATATTTTTGTTTGATATTCGCCGTTTTCTATAACATAAACTTTTATTAACACTAACACCCGGAAGGCCGGAAATAAATATTATAAGTACGAGTAAAATATGTATTTTTTCTATTACATTATATTGTATTATGTAGGTACCAGTTACCTATTCAGTAACTACTTTTATATCGTTATGTTCACGCATATCTACCTAATGATTGTTCAGTAACAGATTATTTTCATTGAATTTTTCCCGAAAGTAAATATTGCACTGAACTATGTTATTGTATTATACATTAGGTACATTGTACACCTACATTATGTATACCTATCATAAGCGTGCGCAGACTTTTTTCGCAGGAGATACCAGTACGTATACTTATAATACATAATAATAACATAAATCAGAATTTTTTTAAATTTATTTTTACTCAGCTATAAATTTCACAAAACAATAATCAGTAGTACTAGTAAAAATATTTAAAACAAAATGCAAACTAAATTGTATTACAACAATTGATATGAATTTAATTTACGTAATATTTTATAATAGTTCTAATTTTCGGTCAAAAAGATGTACACTTTTAAACTCATTAATAACATCTTCATAATTTATTTTTGAGGCTAGTTCCTGTACTACAAATATCAACATCATTGCATTCAATCTATCTTGTTGCATGCGGCTTCGTAATTTTTTTTTATCAAACTTAATTTGGAAAAAGCTCTTTCACCCGAATAATGTTATTAGACTTCTTTATAGTTATTGGTTATTTGCAATACTGCAAATTAACGTGAATGGTTACGTGACTGGTATCGGTGTGATATCCTAACACTGATATATATACTATAGTATAGTATAGTATAGATATCTATATATACCAATACCTAACTCCCATTATCACTAAAATGTACTTGATGAAAATCACGATCAAAGATATTATCTATAGCTGTGATGAAAATTAAAAAAAAAGAAGTTTCTTAACTGATTACTGTTTATAAAATACCTTACTAAAATTAAAGAATAAAATACGCAGACCACAAGGAATGCCATGGTATACTCGGCATCTACTCTGATACCTAGTATCTATAGTAGGAATATATCTTTTTCTCGCTACTTTTAGGGGTTCCTTCTGACCCAAACGAGCTCGGAAATTAATGAACTCGAGAGTTATTTTAAAAGTGATAAAAACAAGGCCTATTTTTGTGTGTAATGCGCTACATTGTGTGCAATACCAAATCTGTTGTGTGTAATACGAAATTATTATATGTGTTGTACGAAGTTATAAAATGTATAATGTTATAAAAAATATTTCTAAACTATGTTTTGTTGTCATAATATCTTTTAATTGTTTAACAAATCTAGAATAAGTATATCAAAGAAATTTAATCAAATACAAAGTATTTTAAAATTTGTTATTTATTATTATGATGTTTTAAAACTTGTTATCTTAATGCTTGTTATAATTGATTTACTGACTTTAAAGAAGAAATTAAACCCAGAGGAAATTATTAAAACAAATTTGTTGAAAGAATAATGTAAAAATGAATTACTAACTAGTTGTAATTTTTTTTAAGTTTACTTCTTACATTATCCATAAATTTCTCCTTGATAAAGTTTAAAACAAAATTTTAAACAACTATAAATGGTATAAAAATTAGTGAAATAACTGTATTTAAGAGTATGGAGGCAAATTTTATTTTGTAACCATAAATTTATGGTCTAAACTAAAAAGTATGTAATGTAATACGAAATATTACAAAAAATAAGCCCTGGGTAAAAATATTAAGATATGTTTTTTTGTCTTGGAAATATTATGATGTCAATTTTATACTTGTATAATAACTGTCTTTATATATTCAAATTCACAATAGATACCTAGTATTGTTATTTTGATTATTTAATATTTTTATGTTGATTTTAACATATTTTATACCAAGAAAAACAATTATGTAGTACCTAAGTAGCGTTTCTTTTTTTTTTTCTATCAAAACATTAACAAACATGAAACCAAATAATATTATGAAAGTAGAACAATAGATACCGTACGGTTATACCTAATTGTGTTTAATATGAACAATTTTTGGCTGTACATCGGACGTTAGCTGTTACCTACTTAATTTAGATTAAATTAAAATGAATTAATTTAAAAAATATGACGTAATTGCCTATTGAATTTAAAATTTTTATTTCAATCTTACTGTATTGTATAATTTTATATTAAAACATACATTAATTAGATAACGCTATCGTAATTATGAAGGTATCTGTTTTACAACCATTATCTATATATGTGAACATTGTGATTAATTAATAATACAATTTTATGATTATTTATAATTGTTATAAGTTATTATTTTAAAATAGGTACTAGTTACTATAACTAATGAATAATAATTTAAAAAATATAAAGAATACCAATATATACGTAAATCAAATACCTAGTTTGTAAACGATAAACCTGATACATTAAATCAATGGGATGTAGATACCAAAAATATAATAGTATGAAATATTTAAAAAATAATTAAGTCAATATTTAACTAGACAAAATTTGTATGAATCATCTATCTCGTATAACTGTTTATAATATATCGTGTATAATATAGTTATAAACTTTATAGTTTTTTAGAATTAAAACGCAACAAACATGTTATAGGTACGTTTTTAA